ATGCGACCGGCTATTGCAGTTAATAATACAACAGCTTCTTGACATTTTTGTGTTTCTTTTTATCGCTGTGTGACTGATTTCAATTGAAAGCCTGCGTGCGCTAGTACCTCTTGCCACGAGTTCCCAGAATACTTGGACTCGAGTCTGACTCGAGTCCAAGTCATGTGACTCGAGTCCACACCTCTGATTCTTCCTGGCTCAAAATGACTTTTTATGACTCATTAGATTTATGTTTGGCAGATTATAGGCCAACATGTCATTCATAACCGTTTAAATTCCCGGAATTCACTTTTCGCCAAAACACCAGTTTGCCTGTGTCGTGGCAAGGTAGGGATCAGCGACAGAATTTGCTTCCCCTGCGTCGGGAGTATGTCTGGTTGACTCTGCCTGCATTACAACCAACTAGACGAAGTAGTGATGTTTACTTTAGTAAAAATTGAAAGATGAGCGTCGTTACATTACCGTTCAGTTTGTGAGTTACAATCAGAAAATGATACATTTATTGTTCATTTATCGGACAGGATTATTTTTGACAAATCAAAGAAATTTTGCCCGATAATTACTTTTTTTCCTAGTGTAACTTCACTTCAAAGAGCTACAACTCAAACATTTCGGAGTAATAAGTCATAATAAGAAGTGCATCTGAACTAAAAATCAAGAATGAGTGATACTGTTTGTCAGTGATTTGGAAATTCTTTCCATTGCGTGCTTGCCACACAGGGGAAACAAATTTTGTCGGGGATACCAACCTTGGCACGACACCGGCAATAAACAAAAGCTCTACCTCTGCTAAACTGTACATTACACACTTCAGAAAACACAGTCTGGTGTGAGGAAAATCAAAGCGATCGAGGTAACTTGTAATCTAGGTTAATACTACAGTGTGACCACTAGATGGAGACAGTGTCTGTTCTCATGGATAACGTGTTGAAGACCTGTTGCAAATTTCTTTCCAGTCCTATTCAAACTGTGATGATTTGCAACAACTAAGAGACTAAATTAGAAATTAGGATTATGTTTGCAAATGGTATTCAGCAATCCACAAAAAACTCACCGGAAATCTGAAGGGGAAGTTCATTTTACTGTCGCCTGGCTCTCATAAATGACATGAAGCAGCTTTTTGTGGTCAGTCATGGCAGGCACACAGCAGAACGGTCTTCACTTTCTGATGCTTGGTAAGCAATAATTTCCATAATGTATAAACATTTCTTTATGTTGTACGGAGATAGCATGAGACAGTCTTTAAGTCTCAGTTTTCAATGCAAACATTCATATTTGTTTTATTTATTTTTTTGCCAACCTTTGTCCTGTGTAATCTCACGTTTTCTTCTTCAGTAGTTTCTTGCATCTTTGCCTTTCTCGCACCTGCAGCAGGTCAGTGTCTTCTCATGTGTTATACATACATGCTTAAATATAAAAAAAAAATTTTTAAAGGACAATATTATATATAGTTTATATTATGTGCTGATAGGTCAGATCAGACTAGCTGGGTCTGGGTCCACTCGGTGCTCTGGAAGGGTTGAAGTCTATCACAGTGGCTCCTGGGGAACAGTCTGTGATGATGACTGGGACTTAAATGATGCCAACGTGGTCTGTAGACAGCTGGGCTGTCGGAAAGCGGTGAAGGTCACTTCATCTGCTGACTTTGGTCAAGGAAGCGGGAAAATCTGGCTTGATAATGTGGCCTGTTCAGGAACTGAAAGCTCTATAACTGAGTGTGGACACAGTGGATTTGGGACACATAACTGTGGACATGGCGAGGACGCTGGTGTTGTCTGTTTAGGTGAGATAATGTTCTAATAAATTGTGCTGAATAAATGTATCTTTCTCTGTTTAGATGAACAACTCGGTGACCCAGTCACTATAACTGAGCTAAACTGAATGGCAAGAAGGAAAGTTGGGCTGGGTTATTGGCTTTTGGCTTTCTTTTGGTTTCTTCAGAATTTAAATGATACAAAGTATGTTATCTTTCATAATCATTATTGTTGGTAAGTGTGTGTGATGGTTGCATGACCAAACAGTAAAAAAGAAAACACTAACACTCTTTAAACAAATGTTCCTGTGACTAGGTGCCCATATCAGATTATCTGAGTCTGGGTTGAGTCAGTGCTTTGGAAGAGTAGAAATCTACCACAGTAGTGCGTGGGGAACAGTCTGTGATGATGGATGGGACTTAAATGATGCTGAAGTGGTCTGCAGATCCTTAGACTGTGGAACAGCCCTGAGTGCCACTTCATCTGCCCTTTTTGGTCAAGGAAGTGGACAGATCTTGCTTGATGATGTGGCCTGTTCAGGGAGTGAAAGTTCTCTAACTGAGTGTCAGCACAGAGGATTCGGGACACACGACTGTAACCATGGTGAAGATGCTGGTGTCGTCTGTTCAGGTGAGCAGAAACACTGAAATTATAATATTTGTTTTCTTTGTTTTTACTCATTAAACATTTTTAGTGTTTATGGAAAATAAATGAACTCTCGAGTAAAGCTTAAAAATAAGTACGTTCACATAGCAACAGCTTTTACACAAATCTTCTTCACAGCTCCACCATAATCTGGTGGAGCTGGAGCAGTCAAGTGGTCAGCACCAGGAGATCTCATCAGGTCATCCATCACCATGTTAGTTAACTTAAAGTCTGGCCCTCATTTGTGCACACTTGGTTTCAGTTCCTTCTGCTGGACAAACTCCTTCAATTAATTAAATTTTTACACATGAACTGACATGCAGTTGTTCTTTACTTGTGCTTTATTTTTAGTCTTTTAACTTTCCTCTAACTAGTATAATGTTGACATCCCTTTATTTAAAGACAGTTATTATAGCAGATGAATGTCTAACATCTATCAGGTTACTTTTCCAGCTTCATGCTAACTCATGATGGTATGTCTGAGATTTCAGATGCTTCTTGTAGGTGATAAACTCAAGATTAATTTTATTTGATAGATCAGCGTAGTACAGCCTCACTCCTTCAGTTTTGATTTGTGAATTAGCTAAGGCTCGGCTAAGGTTAGCATTTGGAGATCTCATTATAATGGGGTTTCACATACTTGTTTTTTTACATCCTTTTTTGTAGAGAATGTCAACATGTGATTACTACTTGAAAGTGTCACTTTGATGCTGCACAGCTTACATGTTCTTCCAGTGATAGTGTGGGCTGTTTCTTGCTACTCTGGCTTCCTCCCAAAGACATGTATATTGAGTTAATTGGTAATTCTAACTGATTATATTGGGATCAGTGGAATATGATTATATTAACTGCCCTGCATCTCTTCAAAGCAAAAGATATCTAATAGTTAATAATAACAATAATAATGATGATAATAATGATGATGAGAAGAAGAAGAAGTAGAAGAGTGGGCTGCTTATTAAAGTCTGTGACCTTTTGGAGTAAGATGTCTCAAAAACTGAAAACATTGCTAAGGCTGTCTCTTATGTTTATGTCTTAACATTTTTTCAGATTTTAGATTTTTCTTCCTGCTCACCTCTCATTTCCCCCTTGCCTTAATTTTGTATTTTGCATTTTTATTTCCCTCTTTTTATTTTTAATACATGCATGCATGCCTCTTTGTGTGCTCTGCATTTTCCTTAAGATAATATAACAGAAGTTAAAACATGAACAGAGTGGATTTCAAAGCTTGTCAATATGGACGATGAAAACAAGCAGCTCTAACAAATATATACTCTATGCTGTCATAAGCTGCCCTTTACCTTTCTTTGTTTATCAGAATATATATATCGAATATATATAAATATGTGTGTGTGCACGTGTGTGTGTGTAGCAACAATGCCAAATATTCTAAGTCAAAGTTCATCAGTGCTGCAGATTTTTGGTGGTAAGAGAAACCGAAGGGTTTTTGCAAAAGAGGAACTAAAGCTGATTTGGGTGAAAACTACATGTTCTAGACTGACAAACTAAATAAGTAGATATACATCACACCGATGGTCAGAAATTTATTTTAAGGAAAAATGGAACGTGTTCATTCTGTTTTAGTGTCCTTGCTGCTGCTGTTTTAATACAGTCAATCCTTCTGCTGCTCCACTAGAAAAAAACACCATCTCCAAATTATTTTAAAGACTGTGTAATCATTAGTGACTTTTTGCAGTTAACATTTACATGTGTGTGTGTGTGTATATATATATATATATATGTATATACACACACACACACACACACACACACACACACACACACACACACACACACATATTTGATTGTCGGTGCAAATTCTGTCATTGATCATGGTGATTTTCTCATTTCATTCACTGAAGTTTGTGAAGTTTCAAAACAAGATGTTCGAGTTAGGTCAAAGCTTCGACTGTAAATTTAGCATCTAGACCTAATTTCTGTCGAGAACACTCAAAAGAATAACTGTTATGTAATCCTGCAGTGATTTGTTAATTTGGCTCAATTCCAGCAATTGACACCTTGCCTGCACGTTTTTAAAACTAGATGTGGGGAAAGCAGCAATATCAGCCCATTGTAGAACAAAACAGAACAGCCTACAATGCCAGCAGGCATGATATTGATTCTTGAAAGAAAGCTTGAAAAAATAAAGTGGATGTGATAGTGGGTTGCAAAGTGGCTTGCAGTGAGAATGTCACTAAATGTTACTGTGGGGCGATCGTGGCTCAAGAGTTTTGTAATCGGAAGGTTGCCAGTTCGAGCCCAGACTTGCATAGTCTCGGTCGTTGTGTCCTTGGGCAAGACACTTCACCCATTGCCTACTGGTGGCACGAGTGTCCGGCAGCCTCGCCTCTGTCAGTGCACCCCAGCGCGGCTGTGGCTACAATGTAGCTTGCCATCATCAGTGTGTGAATGGGTGGATGACTGGACGTGTAAACAATATACAAATACAGGCCATTTACCATTTGTAAAGAGAATTGCTAGTTGGATATGTAAACTGGTATCAGTTGAGCCATATGGATTGTTATTGGGATTAGCTGAGGACATCGGTGTAGCTTGACTTTGTGATCTATTAAAACTAACACTATTCTTTTTGTTTGGACTTTTCAGCGAGTCTCCCAAAACCCAGCATCTCTGTAAATGAAGGTGAGGTTAGCTGGGGTCAGAATATCAGCATCACTTGTTCCGTCTCATCTGAGTTCTTAGATGGAACTTTCACCCTCAAGAAAACCTCAAGTAATTTCAGTCAGACTGAAACAGGATCCAGATCTGCTACCTTCAATATCCACAGAGTGGACTTCAGTGATAAGGGTCTGTACCAGTGTCAGTATGAGAAACGCATTTCAAGTAACACATTCAGCTCCCCCCTCAGTGACTCTGTCAGAATCTCTGTTACTGGTAAGAAGAAATACACTTTCCTGAACATCATGTTTCATTTGTTTTCTATAAGTAGGGTGATCAGTGAGCTACAACAAATGTATTATTGTGCTGGTGTTGTGTGTCTCTTTTCAGTAATCTTTCCAAAACCCAATATCTCCATCAGTCCTGCTGGTGAGGTGACCTGGGGTCAGAACATTGGAATCACTTGTTCAATCTCAACTCAAACTTTAGGTGGAACGTTCATTCTGATGAAAACATCAGATTCATTCAAAAAGACCCAAAACTCAAACACAAACTCTGCTACCTTCAATATTCCTGAAGTAGACTTTGATGATGAGGGATTGTACCAGTGTCAGTATCAGGAAAGCGGCCCAAGTCAACAATTTTACTCCCCAACAAGTGACTCTGTTAGGCTCTCTGTTACAGGTAAGAAAACAAATGATAGCATGTAGTATGTATGATAGTCAATAATTAATAGCAATGTATATAAGAAGATACTGCAGTAGTTATTTCTAGTATTTATGACAGCAGTTGCTGTTTTATAAAGTTTCTGACTGCCTGACAAAATGCTCTCAAAGCCCACAGTACTGAGGACTAAACACAGACTACTGAAAACAAACTATTACACACTGTGGAGCATTTAGCAGCTAAAAAGAGCTAAATGTTAAATTGGGGCCTAAAAAAGTCAATGGTGGAATTTCATTCACCAGGTCACAAAAAACAGTAACACTTGAAAATAATGTCACACTGTTAGTAAAGTATTAGTAAGTGCGTAACTCATCATTTATAAAGCACTACTCCTCATTAGTATGTAACTTATAAATACAGATTTAAATTTTTATTCATGATTAATTCAGAAATTCTAAGTATTATTATTATTTAGAGACACACACAAATATATACATATATGTATATATGTATATAAATGATTAAGATTTTTGTGAGTGTATTAATTGTGGTTATTTTTTTATTGTAAATTAAGGTAGTTGCTAGTTGTTAGTTTTGTGTGTATTTTAAGTATTTCGTGTGGTCTTCTCTAAAGTGAGGATAGTGGTGCAGTGGTTAGCACCGTTGCCTCACAGTGCGAAGGTCCTGAGTTTGACCCCAACATCTAGCACACCCTTTATTTGTGGAGTTTGCATGTTCTCCCTGCATGTTTGTGGTTCCTCCTGGTTTCCTTGCAGTATCAGTGTATCATGAGGGATACTTGATATTTGTGAAGCTCTTTGAAAAACTCACTATTGCCTTGTGATCATCTTACTAGTCTTAGTATAATGAGGCAAAGCTACCCTGTGGCTCCAGCTGTCCAGTGTATCTTTTATTCCTAAATCCACCTTACAAACTATGGTTTAGACTCTGGTCTTAACTACATGTCAGTATTTTGCAAACCTCGGGGGGATTATGTTTGTAACTGGCAATAAATATTTACATGTCCTGTATCTCTTTGTTCTTTGTCTGTGTCATTTATCTGTTGTGAAGATAGCTGAGACTTGTTCGAGTCTTCAGCTACTTTCATTTTTTTTCTAAATGCTTTATAAGGCAAGTCGTCCCTTTACTCGTCACACAAAATACTTAACAACTAGTAACTGTCTGAATTAACCATGAATTACAGTATGATAATAAATTGTCTGTTAACACACTCACAAACAGTTCAGTTCATCTTTAAAAGCATTGAGTAATACGTTACTAATGCTGCACTTAAATGTCTTAAACATTACAAAGTAAAGAAAATCATATGATCTTAATCTCAATCCGTTTTCACACAGTGAGACTACAGAGGCCCAGCATCTCCTTGACGTCTCCTAATGCAGGACTTGTCTGGGGTCCTGAAGGTGCTCAAATCACCAGGGGTTACAGCTTTGTCCTCACCTGTTCCATTAACTCCACATTTTCCAGTGGACATTTTATTCTCAGCTTCTCTGGCTCCAACCTCACAGAGCCAGCAGTCAACAACTCGGCCTCCTTTAGTTTCCCTGTAGCTGAGTATGAACAGCAGGGCAACTACAGCTGTGTGTACGAGGTCACAGTGTCCACACGGACATTCACATCTGCTGAAACTGCACCGATTACTGTCATCATTAAATGTAAGTACACTGTTAAATATATGTATTTTTATTTTTTACTAAGAAAGAAGAATCATAAATATCACTGGCAATTCTACTGGGCAGTATTTTTCCCTCAGACGTCTCTCATTCTGTTAATTTCTAAATTTGTATGCATTTAAAAAGAAAGAAAAGGAGAAGCAGGTATAAGTCAGAAGGCAGTTCTGATATAGAAACAAAACTGAACAGAAACAGGAACAAACACAACTGATAATATATCCTAGCAAAGCAATCCTTTGCTAGGATATATTTGTATTTGCTTATACATGCTCTGGACCAGAGATGTCAAACAAATCGACATGGGAAAGACTCCAATCTGGCATAAATTTTAGACTTTACCTGAATTTTCATAGACTTTTTAGCTTGTCCTACTGACAAAGATCTCACCCACAGTCATTCATTACTACATCAAAGTAATTAAGTAACAGAAACAATTAAATAAAAAAGTTTGGGTTTTGTCATTGTATACTACAGAAAAACTGAGACATATTGTTGAACTTGCACTTTTTCTTATATTGAAAAAATGCAGGTATTAAATGTGCTATAACTTTTGTACACTGTTTCAACCCACTTAAGATGGGTGTGGGCTGTATTTGGCTTCCACTGTAAAATGGGTTTGACATCCCTGCTCTGCATTAACAACCTAAATGAGAAGCAGTTCATTTCAGTGGGACAGAATGTTCTAATAGACAAATGCTGTCTTCCTAGTGTCTTCGATGCCGCTGGTGTCCTCTGTATCTGTTGTAATCCTGCTGCTGCTCCTGCTGCTGCTCTTAGCGGTGTTGCTGATCCTCAGAAGAAAACGACAACACAAGCAGCCTGCAGCTCTCATCCAAACTCAAAGTGTGTACTCACCAAGAGACACAATTTTAAATGATTACAAGTTTAACTATATATTCACATTGTTTTCCTTTACGTGTGTTTCAGTGGTTGTCCAAGTTGGGAATGACTACACGTGGGGAGACATTGAGGGCGATGAGGAGGTCTATGTGAATGTTGATCTGCATCAAAAAATAAAAGGTGAAGCTACAGGAGAGGATGGAGACTTGAGCGATGACTATGAGGAGCCAGTGAATGATGGCGACTCTGATTTTAAGGAAACAGATCCCAGTGACTATTACAGATGTCCAAAAGAGGCCTGTATGTTTGTAGACAATCACAGGGAAGAAGATGATGATGAAGAGAAAACTAGTCATGCAAAAGATGTCTTTGAGAATGTATCCCCTCCATCACCAGTTTATTAACATTCATAATGACCCGACCTGAATCGCATAAACATCCAAAATACAACCACACCGAAAATACCTGCAGGCCAATAAATGTTCACCAGTGTCGTATGGGTTCTATTTCTTCAATATACCATTCTTTGTAACAATATTTATGAAGTACTATAAGTACTTTTAAATTACAGTTATTTTTGATTCCTTGTGGCATACCTTCAAGTTAAAGGAATCATCTTCAGCCCAATGCCTTTGGTGGTCACCTGACTTCACAATATCCTGATCTGTGAGTTTGATATCGGTTCTTATTTAAAGGTTCCCCTTCTGGATCTCTGCAGGCTGCATGTCAAAGCTAAATGTGAAGGGTGTGTGGGGGGAGGCTCAAATGATTGTAAAACTGTTTATCGAAGTATATCGTTAAAATTGGGCTTTGTCCCCTGAGGTTCTTGTCATGTCTGCTCCTTGTTCATGACGCCCAGTTTCAAAATATCAGGAGAAAATTGGCAAAATTGCTCACCGTTTAAGCTTTATAGTGGGACTAAAACCAATGGGTGATGTCAACCGTTCTAAGGTTATCCTTTCCTCTAACATTAAAACATTTTCTTTACACTGTAAGAAAATATTAGTTTTTTACCCTAAATATTGAAATCCTCTTATTCCAAGTAGCCTTTGACAAACACCACTGAACAATTTAGGTTCAAAAAACTGTTTGACTTTTTTTCACCCTTTATAATCTTACAAAGAGTGCATCAGTAATGGATGGAAACATTCTTTTAAACAACCTTTCCTTTGAACCTTTACTTTTTTTTTCATTTTATTGATTCATACTGTATTTTATATTTGATCTTGGACGTGAATCTGGGTTGGCTTCATTTTAAAATGTACAAGTCTGAGCCTGAATTATTGTTTTTCAATGCTTTTTGTTTTTATCTTCATATATTATTCTAATTTCTTGTATTATATCTTTAAAAAAAATTATGTTGCATGCTACTGTACACGTCAACATTACATTATACTCTGTGCATGATACTCAAATACTTTTCCAAGGCAAACCAGAAATTATGTATTGATATTTTGGAAAAGTTATAAACACCCTGCAAATACTTTGAATAAATTCTTACAAAATATTTAGTTTCATCAGGATGTTATTGCAGACACTCACATTAATATAACCTTGACTGGTCTTAATTTGGATGTTCTTGTAGAGCCATGAATAATAAGCAGGCTGAGCTGGGTGGTGTAATAATATCTTAGTCATTTGGAGATGCAGATACAGCAGCTATCCAGAGTCTCCACTTCTATTTCTGGCCTTGGCATCCTTTGGTTTACTGACATATTTATTTATGCAGCAGCCCCGATGATTCAAAGCTGACTTGAACATTATTCCATATGTGTTCTTCTGTATATCTTTGTTCTTGTGAACAGATCTTTTGGCTTCATTATAAACTGGCACAATGCCTAAAGTTACCAGAGAGCTGAATTTAAATAACTTTTTTTAAAATGACAGAATACTTAACTCCATAAAACCTTTTACAGCCATTATACACATCAAGATAATTAGTTGGCATTTTGTATCAGCAGACTGTACCAAGAGTACCAACCAATCACATTCAAACTTGTTTCTGGTTTGAACCAATGATCTGACAGTCTGATGCCTACAAAGCCACAAATACATATGACACAGGGTCCTTGTAATGTTCACAAGCAGCGCTCACATACACACAGTGTGGAAATGTTAGCACTCTGAGCTCATCCTCAGTGATGAGGCCCTGTAACCTGAGACAAGACAGACTCTGTTTATAATACAAGCTCAGCTCTGAGCAACTGCTGAGGTCACTTGTTGGCTGTCATTTAATGTCTGATAAATTAAAATGTACACAGAGCACACAGCCTGACAAATAAAAGATATTTAGAAAGAAAAATTCCAAGATACTCATGTCGTATATGCTAGTTAGCTTAGCATAGCATAAAGGAAGGAAACGCTGGATATATTGAAAAGTAGTCAAACTTTACCCACCAGTTACTACAGAGAAAGATGATTAAAAAAATAGGATTCAATATATTAAACTATAACAGTTTAAAATGGCAGCGCACTGATGCATTGATTAGCACTGCTGTCTGATATCGGGAAGGTTTGAATCCACCAGCAGGCAGTCTTTGTGTGTGGACTCTCCATGTTGTGCTTGTATGGTTTAAGATAAGATAAGACTTTATTGATCCCACGGCGGGGAAATTTGTGCGTTACCTCAGCTCAGGTACAGATAGCAGAAGAAAAATAAGCAAACAAATACAAAATAAATAAGATAATACACGATATACAACAGCAGCATACACAGTATGTGATTATGGATAGAGGGTTGTGGAAATATACAAAAAATAAATGTAACTACTTACCACTACTATTATTACTAAATACCCGAGTAATAGATATATATAAGTATCTATGAGTATAGACGTGTACTCAGGGTCTCTCTGGGTACTCCAGCTTCCACCCACAGTCGAGGGGATGAAGCTTTATTAAACAATATTGTTAAACGTTTCAACACTGTGAAGTTTGACTTCACAGTGAAGGCACATTGAGATGCAGTAAGCATTACTTTTACATTAACATGCAACTAAGTCTTCATCTACTGTCTGTAGGCACAAAATAATGCATTACTGATCCCTCGTCACACATGACTAACGCTAATGAATCAATGTTCAGACGTTACCTAATAATGTAACATGTTCATGTGAAATTATTAAATATTATTAACAGTGCCTTTCACTGTGTTATAACATATCTTAAAATTAAAGTGTTTATATGCATTTTCATACAACCTGTGTGCATGCATATTTGCTTCATGTTTTGTTTTGGGGCTTTTTTTTGTATTTTGGAGTTTATTTTTGCACCATCCACCTGTAAGGAGAAGCATTGGAGGATGACCTTTGCTGTCTTTACTTCAGTCAAAATAAAAATCTCTAGGCGCTGAAATCTGAGCTTGTTATTGCCTCTTTTTTTCTTACATACTGCTATGATACTTACTTTAGTAAAATGGGTTGAATTTGCCATAATTTAAATCACAGATATATCGAGTCAACAAATCATAACTTTTCAGCTGACTGCTATTTGTGGAGTTTGGACAAATAAAGAGCACTATTTCCATTAGTCAGTTCTGAGTAATGGAAGTAAAATGTTGCGCAAAACGCATTTGTGCAGTTTTAGTTTTTTGACATTTACTGGCACCATTTAAAGAAGTTACAGATTTTGAGCACATAAGTACTTTAATTAAAGAGAAGCCATTTTGGCCTAGACAACGTTTGTCAAGTACAAAAACACACAATTCAATAAGATAATGTTTTATTTGCTTTAGTGATCATTTATTTCCTCACTTGTAATTACTGGTCTTTTCATTCCAGTTAAGTTTCATTTTGTATCTAATAGAAAGAGGTTCAACACTGCTAAAAAGGAGTTTACATTTTTGTACTATAAGGTTTGTGGCTTCCATTTGTAACTGAATTCTGTTTGAGGCCGTCTGTCTGTGTTTAGATGATATAGCTTTTCATTTGCAGCACGATGGTGCGGTGACTGTCACTGTTACCTCACAACAATAGGTCCTGGGTTCAATTTCACCATCTATGTGGAGTTTGCATGTTCTCCTTGTCGTGGGTACTCGAGCTTCCTCCCACAGTCCAAAGACACGCGGTTAGTGAGGTTAGGTTAACTGGTGATCCTAAATTACCCATAGGTGTGTATGCGAATGGTTATCTGTCTCCCTGCGTTAACCCTGCGACCTGTCCAGGATCATACTAATCATTCTTTTGTCACAGTGAATTGTTCACGTCTTCTTATCCCTGTTCAACTTAAAAGAGCACTGAGCACACAGTGTAGGGTTCTTCTTCACCATGTGTCATAAAATGAGATGAACACTTTAAACTCCTAACAAATTGTCAAAGAAGCAAATAAAAACATGTAATCTTATATTAACCTGACTATGTACAAAATAAAAGTAACAGGAAGGATTTTTTTCCCATTATTTTACATGGTATTAATTATGTAAACCTTGACCGTAGTTTTTTATTTACAGTAAATAAAGAGGAAATGAAAAATTGCTAACAAGCTGCTATTTTCCCAGAGAGGAAGAAGAAGAAAACTAGCAGGACAGCAAACAAGGTGATTATACAAGTATATATAGATATACTATTATTAAAGGAATTTATTTTAAACTAATAGCTATGATTGGACCATGATCGTGGTTTAATGTAAAAGAAGAGATTGTATAATGTGCTAAAAGGTAAACATTAGGCTAAACCTCTTTTGATTTACTGGGGCAGCCCTTCATTCTGAAACAAGCCACTTTAGCTCCTGTCCTGTTAAACCAGCTTTCTTCTGATGAGCTACTTCTCACGAACAGCAGGTGGGTGGGCCTTCTGTGCACAGAAGTCCACAAACTGCTACAAGAATATTTCAGATTTTAAAATATTTACATTTTTGCTAAAATATTTCAGCAAGACTATTTCATAGGATAAGTATGTATAGATATACTTTGCATGACTTGTTTGGGATGTTTTGGATTTGTTTGTCTAATTCACCATTACATTGGTAATTAACCTTCCTGTAAAGTACATCACCCACATGAGAAGTGACACTCTGGGAAATGTGACCTCTCCTTATTTAGAGAACATTTTAATCCCCAAAAGCTAAAAGCTTTAAGGGGAACAGCCCACTGTGTTGCCAGGTTTAAACACTTTTTGCTCACAGTGGTTGTGCTGTGAAGCAGACATGCAGTTTAACTTCCATGTCACACAAACCTTTCTTTAGTGATCAGGAGAGAACCATATTACAATAATGTATCACTAAAAACCAATAATCTGTCATTTCTTTATCAGTTCAATTTCAGCTATAATGAAAATGGGTTGAAATGATTAAAATTGTTTTTTCAGCATGAAATAAGAAAACAGGGCAACCACCAAAACAGCTAGTCCACTGATTACATCAAACAGATAGCAAACCAGGTTTGAGGAGAAGAGATGTCAGATAGATGTGCTCATCTTTGAACTTAGCATTAAAACTGAAAATATTCTGGAGATGAAAATACTCTTCAAGATATGTTCAGATAACCTCGAGTCCACATTCTAGTTATGGTCGGTTAGATCAATCAAGACTGATTCTTCAAGATTAGGCAGTCGATCAAAGTAAGAAATGATCATGATGTCTCTAAGTGGGAGAAGAATAAATCTATTTGGAAGGTGAGAACTCTCTTAAACAAAACATAACAAGGCTGCCTCAGTCTGCTGTGGCCGTGGACAGAGGATTACTCTAACTGGTGGGTGTCCTGTTTAGCATTTGAGAAACCAAATCCCACAGCTTCAGAGCCTTAACTTACGCAATACTTCTTATCCATAACGAACTTTTGATGTTGTCATTTTGCCCTAGTTTTGACTCCTCAAAGACTGATATGAGCTTGCATCTTCTAGCTCAAATGTCTGGCCCTCTATCCGGTTGTTCAGTCTGACGTCACTAGCCGTGTCTGGGTCTAAACTCCGCTGCAGGTCCATATATCAAACGATCACTATGGCATTACTGAGAGTTGAAAAACTGTCTAAAGTCTTTCATCTTTAATAAAATGATCAGCGTTCTGCTCTACCAGGTGTAACAATTGAGTTTAACATCCAGGCATCCATGAAAACGGAATTTATGACATTTAACGGAGTTAGAAGTTAGCAGGAAGTTAGCTCGCTAGCTTCTATCTAAATACAATATAGCATGTCCTGACTGCGGGGTTTTGGAAACAAATTAAACGTACAGCTCTGCTATCACTTCCACATAAATGAAGACAGAAAACTAAACAGCAGTGACGTTTGTAGGGTTACTGAAGTTGGGCTAGCTGGTATATAATGATGTGCTACGTGACCGCTAGCGACACAGCTATGTTAGCATAATATAAACAAGCTAACTTTTTTTCCACTCGATAAAAGTTAACGTGAGTGTTCTCGGTGGTCAGAAACAAATGTAATCGCATGGCAGGATGCTGTAAAAGGACCAAACTTCAGCCAGGAGAACAACTGAGATAATCCATCCACAATACGAGGTTAGTCATTCATATACTGCTGCATGGGCTGGGCTGTAGTTACATCCTAAGGTTTTAAAAACTGAGCTTAAATAAATGATTAGCGGTAATAAAAGCCGAGGGAGGTCAACAGTGATCACTGACTGTTTTAGGAGCTTTTTGAGATAAATAGAAGAAAATACAAAACATTAAACATGTTAACAACACCTATTGCCAGTCTTGGCAGCCGGGGGTCGTCCGCCAGGGCCTCCGCTCCTGGCCGCCACCCGGCACACAATGCACCCGACCCCTATGGCGCCTCCTGCGGGTGGTGGGCCTGCGGGAGGATGGGCCCATGTCTCCTCTTCGGGCTGTGCCCGGCCGGGCCCCATGGACTAAGGCCCGGCCACCAGACGCTCGCCCTCGGGCACCCTCCCCGGGCCTGGCTCCAGGGCGGGGCCCCGGTAACCCTATCCCGGGCAGGGTAAACTGTTCCCTCGTGTCCTTTTCATAAGGGTCTTATGAATCGCTCTTTGTCTGGTCCCTCACCCAGGCCAATTTGCCATGGGAGACCCTACCAGGGGGCAAAAGCCCCCAGACAACATAGCCCCTGGGATCCCTGTGACACACAAACCCCTCCACCACGATAAGGTAGCGATTCAAGGGGGGATGCCTGCCCCAAGTGGAGGAGTTCAAGTATCTCGGGGTCTTGTTCGCGAGTGATGGGAGAAGGGAGCCGGAGATCGACAGACGGATTGGGGCTGCAGCTGCAGTAATGCGGACGCTGCACCGGTCCGTCGTGGTGAAGAGGGAGCTGAGTGTAAAAGCGAAGCTCTCAATTTACCGGTCGATCTACGTCCCTACCCTCACCTATGGCCACGAGCTGTGGGTAGTGACCGAAAGAACGAGATCGCGGATACAAGCGGCAGAAATGAGCTTCCTCCGAAGGGTGGCTGGCCTCTCCCTTAGAGATAGGGTGAGAAGTTCGGCCATCCGGGAGGGGCTCAGAGTAGAGCAGCTGCTGCTCCACATCGAAAGGAGCCAGCTGAGGTGGTTCGGGCATCTGACAAGGATGCCCCCTGGGCGCCTCCTGGGTGAGGTGTTCCAGGCATGTCCCACCGGGAGGAGGCCCCGGGGCAGACCCAGGACACGCTGGAGAGATTATATCTCTCGGCTGGCCTGGGAACGCCTTGGTATTCCCCCGGATAAGCTGGAGGAGGTGGCTGGGGAGAGGGAGGTCTGGGCCTCTTTGCTTAGGCTGCTGCCCCCGCGACCCGGCCCCGGACAAAGCGGATGACGATGGATGGATGTTAACAACACAAAAGCCATATTAAACGCAGACTACTTTAGACGCGGAAGTAGGATTCGTCGCTTCATCACTGAACAACCGGATTGGCTTGTCTCTTGAGAGTCTTACTCCCCTTACACAGTTCTGGTCAAAATCCTGTCTCCCTCATACAGCTCTCATATACCATTAATGACATGGCCTAACAACACAGCTTTAGATTTAGGTGAGCATTGGGTGCAGAGAATGGAGTTAAAGTTTTGCTTTGTTGATATTCAGGAACAATTTAGAAAATGTTTATGCAGGAATGTTTTCTGTCAACCACAATTCATGAATCCAAAGTTCCTATGGTGTCTGTTCACTGATCACCTCTGCCAGCCAAGCCACGTGAAGGTCTTTGCTGGTGTTATTGGCCACATTCAAACATTAAATATGTCCACAGTCACACATTCAAACATTAAATGTTTGAATGTGTGACTGTGTAACTGTAATTTACAAGCTAAGTCAGTTAAATGCAGCTAATGGCATGCTATTCAGTTTACTCTGATGTCCTTAACAAGTGTTCAAAATCCAGCACACTGTAGTGCTTTTAGAAAATAGTAACTTTAAGTTAATTTAGTTACTAGGCAGAAATTCATTTTGGTTATAGTAAAAAAGAAATATTAGAATTTTGTGTTTGCTTTTAACATGGAGGTGAATAAAGTCTTTTAAAAAGTGTTGTGTCATTATTTACTTCATCCCACATACTCTCAGTGAGACAGCACACTTTCAAAGTCCCAGTCTTGGTCACTTATGAGGAATGACAAATCAGCATATTTTCTCCAGCAGTATCATGGCCTTGTGCATACAAACCCAAACAGGCTATGACCATGTGTTGTCTTTAGCTTTTTGATTAATGGCAGAGCATTCCTGACTTCACTGGCACATGTTAGCAAGCAGCACTGAGCTCATAGAGCTTAAATAGCACGGTGGGAGGGCCGGGACAGAGCAGCTGGGGTATATAAAGGACTGCCGTGTAGATTCCCAAACTAAAAGAAGAGTCAATACGGAAAAACTGAGGAGGCTTTCAGTTCTCACTGGACCCTGAAGATATCTAGTCAGAGGCAGGAACCTGCAATCAAAACAACACTGACATCATGTCCCAGCACGCAGCCTTGACCAGCTTGTTTGGCGATGACCCTTTCTTCAGTCATGAACAGGTGCTGTGGCCTCTCAATATTGAAGCCCTGTCTTCTCTCCAGCGAGACTTCTTTAACCGGAGAGCCAAACTAGCTGACAGCCTCCTGAGCCAGCTCTATGATGGGCCCCAGCTGCTCAACTTCAACCAGATGCCCCTAATGTCTAACACATTGAAGCGGTATGTACAGTAGCCCAATTTTACTAGTGGATATACCTGATTTGGGGTTTGTTCAAACCTACAGATTTGGTTTTAACTTAACCATCCATAAGATCACCACTGATCTGCCTAGAGTTATGGCATGTTTTAGCCACATGCTAAATACTAAAATGCTAAAAGTGGTAATGAAGTCTTATACATTTTTGGCATCAGATTTTCTACTAAAAGATATTTCATTTGGCTTTTCTAAACAGGTAAAGAATCTATTAAAAGGGTAGAATGCTACCTAAGATCTACTCCTATCTTAAGCTTAAGCTTTTTTGGATTGTCAGTGATCAGTTTAGACATTCAAACATTTGGGGTTTTATAAAAAATTGAAAATTCTGTAAAGAAAAGAAAAGATACAATGATGATAATAATAATAAATAAGGCAAGTTTTAGCAGGATCCAAACCCTACCCCAAACACAACTATAAAAAGGTTAACAGCCTTTGTGGGTCCGGAGCAATGATGGAGAAATTATTTCTAATACTGATTCACTTTCAGGCTGAGTGATGATGAAGAGCAGCAGAGAGAGCTTTCCACTACAGAGACCCACAAGGAAGTCCAGCCAGCTAAAGAAAACAACGGTGATCTCCTGGTGACACTAGATGCTCGCGGTTATGCCCCCAGTGACATCACTGTCAAGCTGGAAGGCCGGTGTCTGGCGGTCGTGGCCATGAAGGAGGCCGGAGCAGAAGAGAGCCAGTCCTGCTCTTCTTCATCCTCCTGTGCGTCCTTCTGCTCCTCTGCATCTTCTCAGGCAGGGTTCGCCCAGAAGATCGACCTGCCTCCTCACCTGGATCTGTCCGGCCTCTCCTGTTCCCTGATGGATAACGGACAGCTGCGTATCCATGCCCCTGTGGCTAAGCAAACAGCTGGAGAGGAACGCCAGGTACCCATTCGTTTCAGGACATCGCTGGAGTTTCCCATCAAAAAGGACGACACAGAGGAAGAACAAAGAGACTAGTGCATATGTGCCCCCAAAACACACACACACACACACACACACACACACACACACACACACACACACACACACACACACACACACACACACAAGCACATTTTTGATGAGTTTATTTATATACAGCCTTCCACAACAAAAAGACTCTACAATGAGTAATGTTTACAATTATTAGATAAAGACAACTTTTTATTTTATAACAATGTGCAATTTGTTTTTTCAACTGTAAAAATGAAATAAAGTGTCAAATGGAAAATAATATCATGTAAAATTGGCTTTTGCTGAGGACTACTGTGACCACATGATGGTGCCAACAGCCTACTCACACGAGGAGAATGAAGGAGTAAAAAGAAGTCAGCAGACACAGATGGAGGAAGAGAACAAGAAGAATCCTAAAAGCTGGCATTAACTCCCCTAAGGTGGCTGAATTACTACCCTTAAAAGGTTCAAGTGACATTTGGTTTCCTGGGGCGAAGTTATTTGCCGGCGTGCTGGAGCTGGTGACAAACAAAAGGAGCAGTTTAACATTTTATGAGTCCTACCCTGAGGGTGTCATGATAGAGAAGAGAAGAAATAAAGGCATTATTAGAAAAGGTGAACAGAATAGAGTGAAAGGGAACAGAAACATTGGCCGTTTCTGAGGGATTAGTTTAACCAAATCCTAACCTTACTTTTTCTTTTCTATGATAATACCTTTAATTTGTTTTTTTCTTAAAGATCTGCTGCCAATGCAAATAAGATAACTAAATTTACTTCATGATACTAACTTGGGCTTTAGGAAAACTGCACAAAAGGTAATATCTTCGCCAATACCCTACCAGACATAACCAAAATAAGAAGATAACATTATTAGATTACTATTATTAACAATTGTACCACATGAGTCAATGAGACTTTATCAGAATGTTGCAAATTTATTAAAAATCAGGAAATCTTTAAGAAAAGTTTCTTTATGCTTTGATGTGCTATTCTAAAATTTGGTCTTCTTTGGTTTAATTATTCTTGTAGTTGTTGACATTGCCAACAAAGACACACACATTTGTGTATGAAAGGTCAAACAATTGCACTGCATGCCAGGATGAAAATCAATCCACAAAGTCCAAAGCACTCCCTGAAGACTTCTGCAATTATCTGTAGTGAGGTATAGATCAGGTCGAGGGTTAAGATCTATTTCTGCACCCTTAAGTGTTTCCTGAAGCATGGTGCTCTTGATAATTCTAAAATAAAAAAATAAAAAAATAAAATAAAAAGCTCTGTAGAGCTAAATTTAACCTTGATAGAAGAAATAACCAGACGAATGACTATGAGGACTAAATCAAGCCTTTGTAAAAACAGAAAAAAACAGAATTCAGGAATAACTATGTCCTTCACCAAACCATACTGAATTGACCTCATTAAGTATCTGTGAAAAGATCTGCAAATGACGCTTTACAAATGGTGCCTTTTTACCCTGATTAAATGTCACAAAATGGGGCAAACTTTTCAAATCTTGGACGAAAGAGGCTGTAGAGACCAATCCAACATATTTAAGGTTGTTGTAGGGACATCTTCAAAGTGGATGAAAGGTCTTACATAGACTAATGGATTACTGAGTATAAAAACAGCTTTTTCTCTGTTTTATTGAAGCTGACTCTCACAGATCGACAGATACGTACCAGGTCATAGCAGTAGTGAGATAGGTCTCTCATTCCAGCTCTTCACATATTTGACTCTTGTAAAAGACCACTTGGCATCTAATACAAACACATAACAAACATAACAAAACAAAGTACATGCACACTGGGAGCACATGAACTCCCATTGCTGACAAACAGAGACGTTTAATGACAGAATGTCAGAAGACATGAAATTTGACATTTGAATTTCCACAGTTCAAAATTCTTTATTTCTTTTTTTTAATCCTCTCCTCTCTGGCAGCTTTTGCAATCAGTATTAAGATCTGATTGTGCTGTTGTGCCAAACACATTTTGCTTTTCCAAGATCAGCTCTGTAAATTCTCTATAGGCAGACTGGACTTCCCAGCATGGGCCAAACTGCCCTATGCAGTAAGGCAACAAAGTGGGCGCAGACCAGCCCAGTGCAAGGAAGCACCCAGCCAGAGACCAGGTGAACCCAGGCACCAGATCCCCATGCCCCACTCGCAGAGCCACCCAGAAGAGGGTTGAGTTCATGTTTGGGCATAGAGAATGATCGCTCTGAATTTGAGTGGTAGCGGCTAGCATAGACCAAAACTCTTGGTAAAACCATCTGGTGCTTGGGCTTTATCTTGTTAAGAAATTCTGCAATGTCAGCGTCGGAAGGATTAATCTGTGATGAGTTTAAAGCTTCATAAAAATCTTTCAAATATTTATTTGTATATTTATATGTTGTTGGTCATGAGCAAGGAACCCAGTGGAATCCTTTAAAGAATAAATACTTGTTTTGTTTTTTTATTTAGCTTTAACTGGTTAGTAAGTTTTTCATATTTTGCCCCTCATTACTACCTTTTCTGTTTCCCATAGAACATGTGTTGATGTCCCTGCTAGGTCATTATTATCTAAATGTATTGCCCATTCCATTTTGAAATAATTAATGAAGTCTTGTTCTTTAAATAGTGATGTATTAAATCTCCAGCTCCTAATTAGTGGTGTGACTCTTTTCTGTGTCAGACAGATAAATACTAGTGTATGATCACTGATAGTGATAGAATGAGTGTTTTTAATATCCCTCATAACGGAGCTGGAACTAAAAAGTAGTCTGAGCGACAGTGTGAGTGGTGTACTGGTGGTAAGAAGGTGTAATACTGAGAGTGGGGTGATGTGAACGCCAAGCATCACAAAGACCAAACTCGCAGCCACATCCTTTGACTCACTGCTGTACTGAGACAGGTTGAAGTTTCCTCCTATTATAAGTGTGGTGTTAGAGTGATCTGAAGGAAAGCCCATGTCTTCACCCTGCCTTTTGACACCTTGTGAGATGTGGGGTTTTTTTAAAGATTATTTTATTTTATTAGTTCATTGTGTGTTTTTTATACTGTTTTTATTTTTTATTTTCTCTGTTTTGTTTTCTCTATTGTTCTTTACTTATTTCCCGTACTTTGGTCCTGTGCTGGCTGTTATAAAGTGCTTTATAAATAAAGTTGGATGGGACTGAGAGTGAAAAAAGAAGGTACAAACAAAGGAGGGGTCATCAACATTTGGTCCATATATTAGTGATACACAGATCCATATTTTGAATACATAGATAAAGTATTATTAATCTGCCTTGTGGACCTGCTGCTGACAGTGCAGTTCATTTTCCTGTTAATTAATATGGCTAAACCTCTTTGTTTTGAGTAGCGGGCTGAGAATGTGTGAAGGAAATATGGAGAGGTGAGTTTTGGTCATATGAGTCTCCTGTAGAAAGACAGTATATGCTGGTAAGTCATTTAACCGATTAGTCATTTTGAGCCTCTTTTCTCTGGAATCAATTCCACGTAATTCCATGTGACGAACCTCAGTGTGGTCATGGTGGAGAGTAGAATTTACACCAAAACTGTGTGTTTATCTGTCTGTCTTGTATGGCTGCATGTTAGTGTGTGTGTGGTTGGTATGTCTGTGACTGTGCTGTATGTTTCTGTGGTAAACAGCAGCATTGAGGCAGAGCATACATAATGCTGAGTGCTGAAGGAAACAGAAAAGATGTGAAAGGTGATAAAGGGAATAAGTCACACAGTTCGGTTCCAATTCATACAAACCAATTTAACCGAAACTGAACAAGAAGAGCGGTCATCCTTATTAGTACTTTCCCCCATTTAGGCCATTTTGACAAAGATGAGGGGTCAAAATATATTTTCTTTTCTTTTCTTTTATTTCTTTAAATTTTATTTTGCTAAAATCAGTTAACAGTAGCATTTTATTGTTTTCAGCCAAAGACAAAATATCAGCATTTCATGTTAGTGTGACTTGCACTCTGTGCATTGAAAGGTTCATCACACTGTTTCTATAATATGTTTACAGGTGTGGAGGAGGTACATAAAAACAGAATAATAGTACATATATGAGATTGTTTATGTCACAACTCTTGCATTCTCCTTGTATCAATGATTTCAAACAGTTGTGACAAACTTGTCTCTCTCCCTCTAATTTTTCATGTCCTCCCAGAAATGTCTTCACGGGACCTGCAGGGGTTCATAGTGTGTAGGTGTGCGTGATTGTGACTATGCATAGATTTGTGTCTAAGTGTTTGTATGTGCGTAAGTTCTTGCCTTTCTAAAACTAAATGTGCTCACGCATGTAGAATGATGTCATCCAGAGTGAGGCTGTTCTCTACCATTGGAGTAATACAGATGTATGTGTGTGTACATGTTTAGACATCTTTGTGAGGACAGAAATTGGCATGCCACTATACTTGTTGGGACCAACAGTCCCTAATGGGGACAAAATGCCCATCCCCACTAGTTTGAAGACATTTTTGAGGCTCAAAATGTGGTTTTAATGTCAGGGTCACAGTTATTTTTGGAGGTGAGAAGAAAAGAATCAAAGGGTTGAAAATGGCTGCAGTGCAATGAGGGTTGCAATGAATAGCAAGACTTTGCCCTCGCATATATACTTTTGCAGGAAATGTCTGCACATTTTCCTTGCAGACAGTTATAAGGTCATAATAATGATGGATTTTACAGTCCAATAAGGCGGCAAACTCACTTTCTCCTGGAGAAGGACTCCCTCACCGGAGGATGCTGTTAAAACTGGCAGACACTTCTCTCTATGCACAAGTCATCTCAATAATCTGCTTTGTGCATGTGTGAATTTTCTTGCAGTTCTTTGGCTGAATTCCCCAAAAAATGTAAAAACCCATCTCTGGTACAGCAATAAGTCGAAATATGTAAGAACAAAAAGGCAGATACCTGTTCATTTTACCCAAAGGGAGTTACAATTATCACATCATCAGTTATTTCCTCCTGTGATGTTATTGTCCTGTGCGAAGAAATGTTCCACAGAACTTCCAAACTGAAAAAAAAATGCCAAAAACAAATAAATAAACATCAAAATACAGATAAGAGAGACTTCTTAAACCAATTTTGTGTTATTTAAAGAGTATTTTCATCAATATTGTAATGTACTGCCATCTTGTGGCAGTGGACTGCCCACTGTGGGCCATGTGGGTCTGTCCATAGTGACCCCGCATGAAACCTAATGGGGGATATTTGCTAGGTGAGCTGTCAGAGGTTAGTGGAAGAAACACAGTTATTTAATATTATATTATAAACTCACTGTCACGATGTGCTGTGCAGGTGGTGGAGAGCTGATCCAGAATGCAGGACTCCTCAGAAAAACATACATTTAAAATGTAGTTTTACTAGCTAGCATCAGCAAGCTTTTGAAAAAACAGCAGTATTAACTGGAGCAGACTGATAGACTGGCAGGCAAACAGCATGAAGGGACATGACAAAGAACAAAGTGAAACTTTGGAACACAGCTGGGGAAAACAAGGCACAGGTGAACAAAGTCAGAACGATGACATGGGACACAAAACTGAACATAACGCCAGTGTTGGGAAGGTTACTTTTAAAATGTATTCCACTACAGATTACAGAATACATGCGCCAAAATGTATTTTGTAATATATTCCGTTACGTTACTCAATGAGAGTCACGTATTCTGAATACGTTGGATTACTTAATATATTATCATGCTATTTACAACTACATGAATGTACTATTGCTGTGTATTTTAGGGTGTAGACATCTCGTATAGAGAACTATTCCACGTATATAAAACAGGTCCGCGGCTCCAAACCGTAGTAAAGGGACCTCTGGCTAATACGTCGGGTTCCGTGTCGGGCTCTTAGCCGAAAACTAGCTTTACTTTGTTGTCTGGGTCAATTTTGCTAGCAAGAGACAGAGAGAGGCGTTGAAAGGCTGCTGCAACGGAACTTATTGTTTTTGGAGGAAAACACGAACAGATCCTGTTTCTGCTCGATGACAACTCATACTTTTCCACTCTCCTTTTTCTCCCTCCTCGCGCCCACACACACATCACGGGTATGGCAGTCCATTCTCCCTGCAGCACAGAGTACACTGCCCGAGTACACTGAAAAATATTTCTTCACATCATCATGTGGGCTGCAAGTAGGGGTGACATGGGCCACGAGACTGAGGCCCAGGCATTAGAGCCTCTTAATGTGTGTTTTGTTTGGGTTTCCACCAACATGGAATTACCAAAAATAGAG